AGAAAAGTTTTCTAGGAAAGGGGTTTCATAACTGTAAGAGGGGTAGAGCCTTTACCATGTGGGGTCAAGGTCATGCAAAATTTTGCAAGTGGGTCCCTCCATGGTGGGGTAAGGATGGAACAACACGAGTAGAGATTGTTAACATGAACCAAGAGGGACACTTGCAAGCACAGAAATCCATACAGAAAAAGGAAAGTAGTGAAAGGAAAGAGGCCCACATGAGGGGTAACAGTCAAAGCACAGCACAAGTGAGTGAGGATGTTGCAGGGACCGTGTACGGTAGCAAAGGCAGTAACGACCACAACTTGTGTGAGAGGCTGGCATTGTGTGAGAGGCTGGGATTATATGTGAGGGTGGCATTGTGTGAGAGGCTGGCATTGTGTGAGAGGCTGGGATTATATGTGAGGGTGGCATTGTGTGAGAGGCTGGCATTATATGTGAGGGTGGCATTGTGTGAGAGGCTGGCATTATATGTAAGGGTGGCATTGTGTGAGAGGCTGGCATTATATGTGTGTGGCATTGTGTGAGAGGCTGGCATTATATGTGAGGGTGGTATTGTGAGAGGCTGGCATTATATGTAAGGGTGGCATTGTGTGAGAGGCTGGCATTATATGTGAGGGTGGTATTGTGAGAGGCTGGCATTATATGTGAGGGTGGCATTGTGTGAGAGGCTGGCATTATATGTGAGGGTGGCATTGTGTGAGAGGCTGGCATTATATGTGAGTGTGGCATTGTGTGAGAGGCTGGCATTATATGTAAGGCTGGCATTGTGTGAGAGGCTGGGATTATATGTGAGGGTGGCATTGTGTGAGGCTGGCATTGTGTGAGAGGCTGGGATTATATGTGAGGGTGGCATTGTGTGAGAGGCTGGCATTGTGTGAGAGGCTGGGATTATATGTGAGGGTGGCATTGTGTGAGAGGCTGGCATTATATGTGAGGGTGGCATTGTGTGAGAGGCTGGGATTATATGTAAGGCTGGCATTGTGTGAGAGGCTGGCATTATATGTAAGGCTGGCATTGTGTGAGAGGCTGGGATTATATGTGAGGGTGGCATTGTGTGAGAGGCTGGCATTGTGTGAGAGGCTGGGATTATATGTGAGGGTGGCATTGTGTGAGAGGCTGGCATTATATGTGAGGGTGGCATTGTGTGAGAGGCTGGGATTATATGTGAGGGCGGCATTGTGTGAGAGGTTGGGATTATATGTGAGGGCGGCATTGTGTGAGAAGCTGGGATTATATGTGAGGGCGGCATTGTGTGAGAAGCTGGGATTATATGTGAGGGCGGCATTGTGTGAGAAGCTGGGATTATATGTGAGGGCGGCATTGTGTGAGAAGCTGGCATTGTGTGAGAGGCTGGGATTATGGGTGAGGGTGGCATTGTGTGGAAGGCTGGGATTATATGTGAGGGTGGCATTGTGTGAGAGGCTGGGATTATATGTGAGGGTGACAGTGTGTGAGAGGCTGGGATTATATGTGAGGGCGGCATTGTGTGAGAGGCTGGGATTATATGTGAGGGTGGCATTGTGTGAGAGGCTGGGATTATATGTGAGGGTGGCATTGTGTGAGAGGCTGGGATTATGGGTGAGGGTGGCATTGTGTGAGAAGCTGGCATTGTGTGAGAGGCTGGGATTATGGGTGAGGGTGGCATTGTGTGAGAAGCTGGGATCATATGCGAGTGTGGCATTGTGTGAGAGGCTGGGATTATATGTGAGGGCGGCATTGTGCGAGAAGCTGGGATTATATGTGAGGGTGGCATTGTGTGAGAAGCTGGGATTATATGTGAGGGTGGCATTGTGTGAGAAGCTGGGATTATATGTGAGGGTGGCATTGTGTGAGAAGCTGGGATTATATGTGAGGGTGGCATTGTGTGAGAAGCTGGGATTATATGTGAGGGTGGCATTGTGTGAGAAGCTGGGATTATATGTGAGGGTAGCATTGTGTGAGAGGCTGGGATTATGGGTGAGGGTGGCATTGTGTGAGGCTGGGATTATAGGTGAGGGTGGCATTGTGTGAGAGGCTGGGATTATGGGTGAGGGTGGCATTGTGTGAGAGGCTGGGATTATGGGTGAGGGTGGCATTGTGTGAGAGGCTGGGATTATATGTGAGGGTGGCATTGTGTGAGAGGCTGGGATTATGGGTGAGGGTGGCATTGTGTGAGAGGCTGGGATTATATGCGAGGGTGGGATTTCATATGATGCTGCCACCAAAGATAAATCAATGTGGTAAGTGGTTGTTAACCAAAGCCTGCCTTTGGCTGCCACCCTGTTATGTAATCCACGGCTTTCTTCAGTGGCATTTTAGCACCTTACATGACCCTGCAGTGACAGTTGTTTGAAAATATTCCTCTAGTGCCGGTACCATGTCGTCCTGCCCAAATGATTTTCTTATATAGTAAGATGTTATAATTTTTAACTCTAAACTCTGTACAGCCTGCAGCAGGTTATGCCCTATCTGATTCAGTCTATCATGATATTACTGGCTATATAAATGGAGAGTGGATCAGGAATGTGTTTAGTGGAACAAGAAGTATTGTGCTAACTTCTGTTACAGCAATGTTTTTGTGGTCTTACGTGCCATTACAAAACAAATATATACAATATTGTCATGCTTTAGTAATATAGTGCTTACCCTAAACCATTACATCCATGTGCAGTGTGTTCTCAATGCTACAATCCAAGAGAGTGGAGTTATTAGATTACTAAAAAACAACTCTGAGCAATTCTTAAAAAGTTAATTTTGTTGTACATTGGTGTTTGTGAGCCTAACTACGAATACAACTTGTGTAATACTTGAGAGATACATTAAATAAAGACTCCATTTTCAGTCAATCACTTGAGTAAACATATAAACAAATACCTGTATTTTTATTATTTAGAATAAACACTTCTAAACAGCATAGCAAATTCTGGACATACTGAAAAACATTAATTAAAAAAAAAAAATACAGACCCTGATTTTAAGACCCATCATCAACATTAAATTTACATTAAAAATTGCTGTGAACTCTGTATTATATTGAGGGAGGTGGTGTGTGTGTGTGCCGTCTCTCACAAACCTTGACTTTTATCATGTCTTATGAATTTTCAATATGCTCCCAAATATTGCCAAGCAATGAAGTTGCAATTTGCAACATAATAAGAAAAGAAACACTTAAATGTAGCCAAATTACAAATGCTTTCATAGAAGCTTGATAACATTAAATGTATCTGAAGACTTAAACCTCTTTGTTCTGACTATATAAAAATAGGATTAGAATGATGGTAACTACATACAACTCTTTGCTACCTTGACCTAAATACTGTACTGGTACTGACTTATTACAATAGGGGGTCATGTACTATACACATTTATACTCCTACCCTATTAAACCTTTTTTAAAAATAAAAATCTCAAATATGGAAACCCCCCCCAAAAAAATTAAGTACAATTACATAAAACTAGTATGAAATTACATACTAATGAGTGATTTTCAGTTTTATTTCACACTATTAACACTTTCGCCACTCGGTGGTGCACGAGCGCGTCACTAAGTTTTGTGCGGGTTCCGCAAGGGTGACACTGGCGGGCGTCACGAGAATAAATATTTGTATAAATTCCAATTTCGATCCGATCTACTTGGGGATAGTTTAGAAATGTTCACCATGAAATTTACGTTTTCTCTAATAGCCGAAGAGCTTATTTGGAAGAACGGCATGGCAGTGAATCATCGTGGTAAAACAATTGTATTATTGACACGACGAGTATGATCGACATAGTTTTTATATTTGTTGCTGGTCGAACGCATCCTTATGTGACGTTTTATACTTGTGTTCTTCTAGAACATTCTATTGCGAACACATTGGTACAAAAATGAAATACGTACATCGAAAAATAATGTCAGGACAGTGAATTGAATATACACTTTTCAATGCAGGTTTCGCCGATATGCCGCCGTGGGTAACACTTCGGCCACTTCCCACACTCTTTTGGGTCGGTTGCGACATTGATTCTATATTTATATGCATATGTCCGTGTAGAGAATTTTATTGAGATTTCAGTGATACCAAAATTAACCCTGTAGGACAAGTGTGGAGTTGACAACCCTGAAGATAGTAGAAACATTTCGTTGCTGTCTGGAGCTCACGGCTAGTGATCGACGAAGTTTTTTATTTGGTGCTGATCTAACTTATGTTTTGATGACATTTTATACTTATGTTCTTCTAGAACATTCTATCGGTACAAAAATGAAATACATACATCGAAAATTAACGTCAGGACAGTCAAAAGAGTATACACTTTTAAATGTTGCCGCTCGATCGCCAACACGCTCATTTCAGTTGGGGAAAGTTTTTTTTTCAAACTCCGTTTCGCGAAAGTGTTAAAGGTTTTTGGGCATGGGTAAAAGTAACGCTATAAGGGTGGGTAGAAATGGCTGACTTGACCGCTGAAGTTGTGGTAATTCAATTTTGACACCAACCAACACCACCAACAGTGGTGCTGGTGTTGGTGGCTTACAGTGAAGTGGTACAGGTATTTAACCATCTGGATGAAGCAACGAGTCAACAGTAATGAAAGTGCCCCCCCAAAAAGGGGTGCAGCTTATAATAGTGCAAATATATAATATGCAAATATACAAATATACAGTACACAACAATCAGTATTACTAGTCATATTTACATTGTATCATTGCAATTATCGGACACGTTAATCACATTGATGAAATCATCTGATATGAGGTGTCATAGGAATTTTTCACTTCCAAAAGTTCTAGTACACTGTTATTCATTGAATAAAGTATCTGGTTCTTAATTGAACACATCATAACATATATATATATATATATTTTTACAGAAAAAAAGGACATTACAAAGACAGTTACTCACCCAACAGAGCATAACCTTGGAGAAAAAAAATTCAGCGAGTTCAAACAGAATCTGACGACATATCTTAAATGACTTGAAATTATATCTTGGGTTAGGTTAGACTATTTTGGGATGGACACAATTAAATAGAGCCGATGGTAGTGTACTCAAAATATTTATATTTAGATAATAGCTTCATCAAAATACAAATTTAAGCAATTAACATCTTTGTTAAATAACTAATTTAAAAACCAGGATATCTTCAGTATTAAATACTACTCTATATCTTTCTTACTATTTGTACTTGAAAAATAATTATGCCAGCTCACAATATTAACTTTCTTGGCCACTTGATCAAAACTTGGTACATCAACTTTACGATGAGATTATATCATTTTTCTGTACTTTACTTCACCAAGCAGTGACACCAGTGTACCTTACTTCACCAAGCAGTGACACCAGTGTACCTTACTTCACCAAGCAGTGACACCAGTGTACCTTACTTCACCAAGCAGTGACACCAGTGTACTTTACTTCACCAAGCAGTGACACCAGTGTACCTTACTTCACCAAGCAGTGACACCAGTGTACCTTACTTCACCAAGCAGTGACACCAGTGTACCTTACTTCACCACGCAGTGACACCAGTGTACCTTACTTCAGCAAGCAGTGACACCAGTGTACCTTACTTCAGCAAGCAGTGACACCAGTGTACCTTACTTCACCAAGCAGTGACACCAGTGTACCTTACTTCACCAAGCAGTGACACCAGTGTACCTTACTTCACCAAGCAGTGACACCAGTGTACCTTACTTCACCAAGCAGTGACACCAGTGTACCTTACTTCACCAAGCAGTGACACCAGTGTACCTTACTTCACCAAGCAGTGACACCAGTGTACCTTACTTCACCACGCAGTGACACCAGTGTACCTTACTTCACCAAGCAGTGACACCAGTGTACCTTACTTCACCAAGCAGTGACACCAGTGTACCTTACTTCACCAAGCAGTGACACCAGTGTACCTTACTTCACCAAGCAGTGACACCAGTGTACCTTACTTCACCAAGCAGTGACACCAGTGTACCTTACTTCACCAAGCAGTGACACCAGTGTAATACACAGCATTCACTAACACTGCATGGCAAGTAACAGCACTCACACATGCATGCACACACTTCAGCAATATCCAGTTTCTATTTTGTCAGTTAGTTCATTATTTTCAAGAAACTGTTCCCACAAAATAGGGAATTTTGGTCGGATATTGCTGCTCTGTACGTGATTGAGCCGAATTTCTGCATCCAACCATCGTAGAAAACGTTGAGCAAGTTTCTAAAAAAAAAAAAAAATAATTAAAAACTAAAGAGTCATTTACTTAGAATAAACTGGCTTTGTAAGACTAAGCTACAGTATTGAGACTGGAACAAATAAACACAACACTGATACAAACAACCATGAGGGTATGATGTTTTGATCCTCACTAAACAACAAAGGGGCTGAAGCAAACAAATTCATTAGAAGATCACATGTAATATTAACTAAGTCTTTAAAGTCATCTTGAACTCTTATCGACATCTTGTATAAACATATCTGCTTTCCTTCCACTGTAATTATCTTTATATTTCTTCTATAAAATAAGAATATTGTACTGTAAATTCAAAATTAATTTATATTATGAAATTATAGTTTCCCTATTGGGAATACCTAATTAACTCAAGAGTTATGTAACAGTAAAAAAAAAAAAAAAAAAAAAAAAAAAAAAAAAAAAAAAAAAAAAAAGCATTGAATGTAATGAAACGCCATTTTCTGGGTGAATCCCAGAGGCTCCCCGGAGCTATCCATGGCTGATATGGATACCATAACTATTTTCCTTCAGTTGATGTAATTACATAGGTGTAATTACCCAAGTGTAGTTACAGGATGAGAGCAACGCTCGTGGTGTCCCGTCTTCCCAGTACTCTTTGTCATATAACGCTTTGAAACTACTGATGGTCTTGGCCTCCACCACCTTCTCACCTAACTTGTTCCAACCGTCTACCACTCTGTTTGCAAAAGTGAATTTTCTTATATTTCTTCGGCATCTGTGTTTAGCTAGTTTAAATCTATGACCTCTTGTTCTTAAAGTTCCAGGTCTCAGGAAATCTTCCCTATCGATTTTATCAATTCCTGTTACTATTTTGTATGTAGTGATCATATCACCTCTTTTTCTTCTGTCTTCTAGTTTTGGCATATTTAACCCTTCCATTGCTCGGGGGTCCTGAGGACATTTACACCCCTGTGCGCAAGAAAAAAAAACCAGCGTTGAATGTAATGAAACGCCATTTTCTGGGTGAGTCCCGGAGGCTCCCCGGAGCTATCCATGGCTGATATGGATATCCTAACTATTTTGCATCAGTCGATGTGGGTGGAGTTCTAGGCCTACCGGGGACCACGAGCCAGAACCTGGCCCCCCTCACAGAGGCACGGGGAGCAATGGCCCATAGAATGCACATGTGATTTGGAGCATTCTATATCTGCCATCGACCGGGACAGGCACCCAGAAAGGTAAGCGCCCCAAAAAAAACCCCTATTCTGGTTAACAACAAAAATTGACAAACGAGTGGACAACTCCCCAAAAGAAAAACAAGCAAACCAGCATGACGTCACACGAGCCACGCCGCATGTCTGCGCAGCTCCCCTCTCCCTGGGAGGGGAAAGGGGGAGCCCCAGACCCCTGAACCGGTGATCCACACCCCAGTTCTGAGGCTGGACATCAAAAACCGTGAAAAACCGCCGACCGGAGGGCGGGAGGGATGCCGGGAGCCTCCGGGACTCACCCAGAAAATGGCGTTTCATTACATTCAACGCTGGTTTTCTGGGGGGAGCCCCTGCGGCTCCCCGGAGCTACCTCACCAAAGACTACAAAGAAAACCAAGGGCACTTACCCGGGAGGCGGTCGGTGCTCCACACCTCAAGACGAAGCCGAGACCACGAGCTGCAACCGCCAACCTAAGGCAACACAGGCCCGACTGGGCCCAGGAACGTTAACAAGGTAGCATGCAGCCAGGACCCTGTTTGACCGCCAAAATCCCTGTGCCCGAATGTCAGCCCAAAACATATTGCCGAAGACAAGTTCGTTCGTAAGTTCGCAAGCGCAGCGAACTTACGAACGTCATGGGCACGGGGATAGACCGCAGGCTGGCTGGATTTAATAACCCTGCGGACGACCTGAGAGACCCGAACCCGCGAATAGGGAAGAAGGGAAACCGGATCAACCCAAAGCGCGTCCCCGGACACTGAAGCCGTGGCGCGCAGATAACGGCGGAGGGCTGCAACCGGACATAACACATGGTGAACCCCCGGCCTGACAAACCACGCATCAACAACCCAAGGACCCCTCCGGAAAGCAGCAGTCTCATTCTTCGCCAGAAAAGAGGGAGACGACTGCAAACGAACAAACCGAAGACCACGACCAAAGGAGCAAAAACCCCTGTTTTTGCTCCGGAAAAAAGCCGGAGAAGAGCATGAAGCTCCGCCACACGACCCCCAGAGGCTAATGCCAACAGAAAAAGAGCCTTAGCAAAGCAATCTTGAACTGAAGGGGCCACCACAAACCAAGGAGTGGAAAGATAGAAGAGCACTCTGTCCAAGGACCAGGACGGCTCAGGCGGTGCATGAACAGGCCGGAGGTGAAACAACGCCCGAGACCGCTTGCGAAACGATGCAGAAGTAACATCAATACCGAAAGCAAGCTGCAGCGGCTCTGCCAGCGCTGCACGATACGAGGCGACAGTATTAGGCATCAGATGACGGTCCCGAAACAACCAAGAGAAAAAGGACAACACCACCCGAACCAAAAGCGAGGAGCAACGACGAAGGGTCAAAAACAACCGGAAGGACCGCCAGGAAACTTCATACTGCCGCCAAGAGGAAACTCGCAGGTGAGAAACCAACAAGGAAGCCACCTGCTCACCATAAAGATGGTGATAAACACGAGTCAAAAACACCAAACGCGAAGACTCGCGGAGAAGAGCGAACCAGTCTCGTACCGGACCGGACCGATCTCCTGAAAGAGGCGGAGCAGCAGAAAAACCCCCGGGTTCGGACACCGAGCAAGCAGCGCCTGAAACCACGGCTGGGCCGACCACCAAGCGGCCAAGAGGACCACACGACCCTGGTAAGTCTCCAAGCAAGCCAAGACCCGGAGCAGCAGCCGAACTGGGGGAAAGAGGTACAGGAACCCCCACCTCGACCAGTCCTGCCGAAAGGCGTCGATCCCGACGGCCTCGCAGTTGGGGAAGGGCGCCATGTAAACCGGAAGACGCCTCGACCACGCCAACGCGAAGAGATCCACCTCCGGGCGCCCGAACGTCCGGCAGAGCCAACGGAAGGAGCCGGCATCGACCGTCCATTCCGTGGACAGGGGAACGAACCTGAACAGGCCATCCGCCATAACGTTGGACACCCCCTGGACATGAACCGCCAGGAGAGCCAAACCCCAAGAACTCAGCAGACGAGTCACCCGAAGTGACCAACCCCAAAGAGCCAAGGACCGCATCGAACCCCCTTGGTTCAGACAATGAACCACTGGGGAGCAGTCCGAATGGAGCCGGATCGTCGATCCGCGGGCAACCCGAACCCTCCGAAGCGCAAACCATACCGCCGCGAACTCCCGCACCGTGCTGTGGACCCGACGGAAGGACGGACCCCACCGCCCCTGGCCGGCCTGGTGAGCACTGGTCACAAAACCCCAGCCTAGAGACGACGCGTCCGTGAACACATCGAGCGAGGGCTCGGGTAGGCGCCAAGGCACTGAACCCCGAAAAACCCGAAGAGGAAGCCGGCGATGCAGCAGCCGACACAAAGCCCCCGGGGGTCGAACCCAGCGATCGCGAGAGAGGCGGAAGGGACGTCCCCGAAGGAACCAGAACAGCCGACGAAGCCAAACCCGACCCGGCGGGTAGACCAACATCGCGAAGTTCAGGCTGCCGCACAAACTCTCGAGCAACCTCTGGGTGACCCGGAAGCCCCCCAGAAACAGACCCAGGCGAGACCGCAGCCGAAGGAGAGGCTCGGATGAAGAGACAAGGAAGCGGCCCGAGAGTCCCACACAAGACCCAGCCAGGACCGAACCTGGGAGGGCACCAGATGGGACTTCCGCCAGTTCACCAGGAACCCGAACCCTGCGAGCTGGGAAAGCACCAAATCCCTGGCAAGCAAACACGCGGACCGACTGGGAGCCCAAACCAGCCAGTCGTCGAGGTAAGCCAACACCCGAACACCTAAGAGACGCAGACGGGCCACCACGACCCGAGTAAGGCGTGTGAACATGCGAGGTGCCAGGTTCAACCCGAAGGGGAGACAACGAAAGTGGTAGCATTGATGCCCCACAACAAAACCGAGCCAGTCCCGGAACCCCACATGAATAGGGACGTGCCAATACGCGTCCTTGAGGTCCAGGGACACCATCCAAGTGCCCGGCTCCAACAGAAGCCAGACCTGGGATAGAGTGGTCATCCGAAACAAGGGGCAAGAAACCCAAGGGTTCAGACAGGACAAGTCCAGAATGAATCGCAGGTCCACACAGTCCCGTTTCGGAACTGGAAACAGGCGGGAAACCCACCTGACGGATGGAGTCGTTTCGACCACGCCCAGGCGCACCCACTCCAAGATGACCTGACGGAGCGCAGGAGAGGAAGCCTGCCCCGTCAGCCCCGAACCCCCAGCAGGAGGTGGAGCCACCCAACGCCACCTCAGGCCGTGAGAAACGACCCGAAAAGCCCACAAATCGTGAGACCAGGCGTGAGCGAACAGAGACAGCCTTCCCCCCATCGACCCGTCAATGGGGCGAACCGCGAAAGGGTCGCTGCCCCTTATGAGAACCTGACCTGCGCGCAGAGCGAACACCGTGCCGACCAAGCACAGGTGGGACCTCAGGCGGCACCGGCACCGAACCCGACACCTGTGGCCCACCCCGACGAATGGAACCGCGCGCCCTGGTACGACCCCACTGGGAAGGAACACCCCGGATCCCCCGGAGAACCAACAACTCAAGACATAGGGCGGCAAGAGGAAGAAGCCACCTGAATATAACGTTCTACCGCAGAAGCCTCAAAAAACAGAGGACAAAAGGGAGAAGACAACCTAAGAACCAGGGCCCAAGTGGATTCCAAAGAGGAAGCCAGGACCTCTTGACGACACGCGAAGCGCGCAGCAAAAAACCGCAGCAATGCCTCCCGCAGGATAGGCGCAAAAAGCTTCAACATGGCAGACAACGCCCGAGCAGCTGAGACCAAGGCGTCAGACCCTGGAATGGTCCCAAGCACCTCAACATCCTCCTCAAGCAAATCCGA